TCACTGTTGAATGGTCTTCAGCAAAATTTTACTTGCATGCAATAGTAAAGATTTTTTTCTACAACATGAACATTCTGTTGGTTCTTTTTCTTGGAATGGGAACAAATACAGATCTTTTCCAGTTGGTTTGTCAGGCAGCTTCCAAGTTTCACTGCTTCAGTGCTTCAACCGCCTTTTGAAATGTGTCAATCAGTATTCCATCAATTCTCAGAGCCTCGCATTTGGTAAAACCTTCAGTGCAGCTTGGAGTTCTTCCTTCATGTACTTGGTCATAAGCTACCTCTTTATTTATTTATTATTATTATTGTAACGCTACCTCTTTAAATGGTTATCTGTCAACTTTTTTTCCCCTTCTTGAACAGTGACTCTGTGTATTCTTCCCATCTTTTGGTGCTGCCTGCATTATTTGCTAATTTGTCAAACTCCAGGCTTGAATAATTTTTTTCATTTCTTTGACTTGAGATATCCTGAATATGTTCCTCCTTTTTGATTCTTTAACCACAGGCCTTTGCTCATTTGATTACAATACTTTACTTTGCACATTTGATTACAATACATTACTTTGCACATTTGATTACAATACATTACTTTGCACATTTGATTACAATACTTTACTTTGCACATTTGATTATAATACTTTACTTTGCACATGTGATTATAATACTTTACTTTGCACATTTGATTATAATACTTTACTTTGCACATTTGATTATAATACTTTACTTTGCACATGTGATTATAATACTTTACTTTGCTCATTTGATTATAATACTTTACTTTGCTCATTTGATTACAATACTTCACTTTGCACATTTGATTATAATACTTTACTTTGCACATTTGATTACAATACTTCACTTTGCACATTTGATTATAATACTTTACTTTGCCTTCTTAAGCTGCCCTTTGCAATTTCTTGTCCAGCTCTTTTACTTCATCAATTCTTCCAGTTACTTTAGCTGCTCCACATTCCAGAGCAAATTTCTGAATCTCTTCTGACATCCACTATGATCTTTGCTGTCTTTCCTGTATTTTAATGGCCTCTTGCTTTCCTATGAAGCAAAATCAATGGATGCTGCTCTTCATTTCATCCAACAGTTCATTGGGTCTTCCGTCATTAGTATTCAATGTGTTCAATCTATTTTTGAGATGTTCTCCAACTTTGATATAATCAAAGTAGTATTTTGGTTCGTATGGACTTGTTTTAATTTTCCTCAGCTTCAACCTGAACTTGCATGCTGCCATCTTTGAACTGGGTACCATTGTTTCTGACTCTGCTAAACAAGAGGTTTGGTTGCTATGCTCCATGCACACTGTCCTTGTTTTTTACAGGGGAGATGACATTTCTAGAGGTCATACTGGTTCTTGTTTTAGTACATTCACATTTTACACATCTGGGCCCATTCTAGTTTTGTGTTGTTGACCAATATGGAAGAGCTCATCTGAAACCATGATTATAATATTGCTTCATATGTTTGCCTAACCATTTCTGATGACTTGCGTTTGACTGCTTTCTTCATATTTCTTCTCTATCTTTCATTGTCTTTTAAAAGTTTTACTTTATTTCTGTTGCTGTTGAAAATATACACAGCAGAAGGTACACCAAATATATAAAACTTCAACATGTCCAATTGAGTAACACTGACCACACTCTTCAAGTTGTGCAAACCTTCCTTTGCTACGTTGTTCCTCATTCATTACCATAGACTAAGTTTCCTGACACTGCAAGTAGTTTGGTGTCCACTTGATCCCATAGAGCTAAATCTTCAATGAGAACAATGCTTAAGGCAGACATTCTTTATTCGTTACGGTAAATTTAATCTGGTTTTAAGATGACTATTTTTAGCATAAAGTTTAAGAATTATTTCAGGGGCTCACCCACCTTCTGTGGCTCTGAGAAGGACAATCCTGACAGAATTCCATAGCATTTTTCTCTAATTATTTTATGGTTATAGTTTTCATGTTTCGGTTTTTAATATATTCTGGTGTGTGTGAGTGTGTGTGTGTTGAGGCATGTAGTGGGGAGATGGGTAGTTGGATGATTTTATATTCACTTGAATTCACATGACAGTTGAGGGGTGGCGTTCAGCTTGTCAATCAGGTCACAGCCTAATGATGCCTTGTTGGGGGCGTGGCCTTCCTATAGAGAGAAATGGGGAACATCTCTCCCTTTCTCTGCCCCTCTGCCTTTCTGCTTGCTCGGACTCTTCCTGCCTCTAGGGCTGGCCCTAGGTAGGCCATGCAACGCTGAGAGCTTTCACTGCCCTGCCATGTTTCCACCAACTTTGGATCATGCAACTCTGCACCTACTGGCCTGGGAGATCCCCGATTCCCACTTCACCTTTCTGCCACATCAGACTGCCCCTATATGAGTCTGAAGATGGCCTTGGCTTGCATCAGACTTGTAGACTTGAGTTGGACTGGGCTGGGATGTCTTCTTGATAGAAGATTCTTTTTTTGATCTAACGCTCTTTCATATATATATGAGTGTCACTGGGTTTGTTTCTCTAGACAACTCCGTCTAACACAGGAGAGTTTGAGGATGTGAAAACCACAGGAATATTAAACCCAGTGCTGTTGTTAGGTGTCACTGGGTTAGTTCCAACTCACAGTGACCTTATGCACAACAGAATGACGTATTGCCCGGTCCTGAGCCATACTCCAAATTGCTCTTATTTTTCAACCCATTGTTGTAGCCATGGTGCCAATTCATCTCCTTGAGGGCCTCCCCCTCCTTTGTCACCTCTCTACCAAACATGATGTCCTTCTGCAGGAACTGGTCTCTCCTGACAATATACAATATAAAGTATATACGTATATAAGATGAAGCCTTGCCATCCTTGCTTCAAAGAAGCACTCTGGATTTCTTTCAAGATAGATCTATTTGTCCTTTTAATATTCCATGGTACTTTCAATGTTCTTCTTCAGCACTATAGTTCAAGTGCACCAATTCTTTTTCTGATCTTTTTTATCCAATGTCCAAATTTCACATGCATATTAGGCAATGGAAAATACCCTGGCTTGGGTCAGGTGTGCCTCAGTCCTCAAAGTAAACTCCCTGTTTTTCAATACTCTAAAGAGGTTTTCACAATAGATTTACCTAATGCAACTCATCTTTTGATTTCTTGACTATAGCTTCTATGAGCATTAACTGTGGATCAAATCAAGACAAAATCCTTCACAACTTCAAACTTTTCGCCATTGATCATGATGTTATCTATTACTCCAGTTCTAAAGATTTTGGTCTTCTTTTCGTTCAGTTGTAATCCCTACTGAAGGCAGCAATCCTTGATTTTCATCAGCAAGTGCTTCAAGTCCTCCTCCCTTTCAGCAAGCCAAGTGTGTCATGTGCATATGGGAGGTTGTTAATAAGCTTTCCTCCAATCCTGATGTTCTCTGATTATTTGCTTAGCATATAGATCAAGTATGGTAAGGGGATATAACCCTGTTGTACATCTTTCCTGATTTTAAACAATGCAGTATTCCCTGTTCCATTCTCAGAATTGGCTCTTGATCCATGTACAAGTTTTGCATGAACACAATGAAGTGTTCTGGAATTCCCATTATTCTCAGGGTTATCCAGTTTGTTATGATCCACACAGTCGAATGCCTTAGCATAGTCAATGAAAGACAAGTAAATCTCTTTCTAGTATTCTGTGCTTTCTATGAAGATCCATCTAACATTAGCAATAATATGCCTTGTTCCACATACTCTTCATTGTCTGTTCTTAGTCTGCAGAATGCTTCTTCATTGACTGGTCTTAGGCTGAAACATCCACTGAAATCCATTCATTTTGGGTGACCCTGCTGGCATTTGAAATACCAATAACATAGCTTTCAGCATCACAGCAATACATAAGCCACTACAGTATGGTAAACTGACAGACAAGTGGTGGTATTAAACCACATATATATGGTGACAGTTGTCAGAAAGGTCAATTTACTATCATTCCAAGATTGGGTGACTGGGATGTGAATGGAGTGAAAGACTGTGCAGTCTTGGGAAACATAAGCTCAGTTAGAGACACACAGAGTTTGGGACAGGAAGATGTCTAGTGACTCTGACTGGAGATGTCATTGCTAAGAGTACAGATGTAGGATTGTCAGCACAAGTAATAGGCTCTGGTCTGGGATCAGAACAGCTATTTTGGGAGAGTGTTTAGTGAGAAGAATGGAGAAGTAAGGTCCAATTCTGGCACTGAACGGGTTATGGAAGAGCCCACGACAAAGAATGGTCAGAAAGGCCATAAGAAAAGACTACAGGAATCCTTTCAAACCAGATAACTTGAATCAAAGCTTCTGTTCTCAGCACCAAACTGTCATAAAAGAGACCAACCCTACTGGTCAGATAGAGAGAGGCGGGAACCCTGAGATTATAGCCCTTATTCCCCCTTCAGCTCTGGAATTAAATACCCCTGTTGTAAAATGATCAACCATTTAAGATCGAAAGGGAAGTATTTACCAAAAAATAAAGTTCCAGGAGTTAGGAAAGAAAGAAAGATGGAAATAGAAGACACAGGGAGAAAGCAGACTAAGTGATGGTCCACTGAGGGGACTGCAGTGCATGAGTTGAAAAAAGCTGTATGACGGATAACAGTTGTATGAGCCCCTAATAAAATGTTAAAAAAAAAAAAAGAAGAAGAAGGAAAACAACTCAAAAAAACAAAAACAAAACGCTGTATGAATTGTTCAATGGAAGACTGACGATCTTCTCTGGAACCTTTATCTGATTCACAATAAAAAGCTTTAGAAATTCTAACGATACTGATGGCACTGTCAAGAAGAACTGGACTGCTAACCACAAGGTTGGTGGTTCAAACCTACCAGCTGTGTTGAGGAAGAAAGAAGAGGCTTCTTGGTCTTCAGAAGACTTAAAGCTTCAGAAACCATATGCAGTGTCACTATGATGTGGAATTGACTCAATTTCAGTGGTTTATGACACATTAGTATTATTCAGGGAAAGATCCCTTGGTTAGAGAAGTTAGATATTAAATACTTACCATAATGAGTGCAATCACAGACATTGTGTAGTAAATTGAATCTCTCAGCAGGCACCAGGAGGAAAGAGCCACTACCTAAAAGAAAGGAGAAAAACAGGACATTAGATGAGTGCAAATAAGAAACTGAAAGTCCTGCAAGTCTGTCCACTAGAAACAAACAAACAAAAAATCTGTTATTTCTGCTTCCTGTCCCTCAACCCAATCAGTCTGCCAATCAATGCATGTTGATAATCTCTAGGCCCACCACTTGTCTGTCAGTTTGTCATACTGTCGTGAGTTGTGTGTTACCGTGATGCTGGAAGCTATGCCACTGGCATTTCCAGGGTTACTGGAAGCATGGAGCTTCCAGACTCAGAACAGATTACCAAGAGAAATCAACTATTCACTTCAGGTGAAGCAGCCTTTGAAAACCTATGCATAGAACCCAAACATTGTCGGATGCCGAGGGCCTAATGAACGGAAGCAGACCATGATCAGAGACAGTGCCATAGGATAGGCCTCTCATATAGAAAAGAGGAGTTTCTTCCTCAAAGTACAGTCTACCATGGTGCTGTGAATGGAGAAAAGCTTGTGGGAGTAAAGTGGAATGTATGAAGCATTCAGCTAGGAAAACTGAATGTATAAAGTGAAATGGAATGCCTAGGATCAATATCCTAGGCATTCGTGAGCGGAAATGGTCTGGTCTGGGCATTTCTAATCAGAAAGTAATATGGTTTACGATGCCAGGAAGGACACAATCAAGAGGAATGGTTCTGCATTTGTTGTCAAAAGTAAATGTCAAGATACTTTTTAAAATATAATGCTCTGTCCTAGCATTATATCTATCCACCTTCAGGGAACTCCAATCAATATAACTATTATTCAAATGTATGCACCAACCAGGAAAGATAGTGATGAAGCTGAAGAACTTTACCACCATCTTCAGTCCGAATTTGACCAAAGATGCCATCAAGACACACTGGTAATTATTGGTGTTGGAATGTACAAGTTGGAAGCAAAGGGGAAGGACGAGTACCTGTAAACTATGGGTGCGGCGATAGAAATTAAGCTGCAGATTGCATGATAGAATTTTGCAAGACCCACGGCTTGTTCATTGCAAAAACCTTTTTTGCAACAACAGAACATGTGACTATACTCATGGACTTTTCCAGATGGAATACAGTAGTCAGATTGACTACATATGTGGGAAGAAAAAATGGAGATGCTCAAAATCAGCAGCCAAAACAAGGCCAGGCACCAACTGTGGAAGAGACCGTTAATTGCTCATATGTAAATTCAAATGGAAGCTGAATAAAATTTAAAAAGATCATGAGAGCCAATGTATGACCTTGGGTACATCCCTATTGAATTTCAAGAACATCTCAAGAACAGCTTTGATGCATTGAACACTAATGAGAGAAGACCTGATAAGCTAGGGGGTGACAACAAGACATCACACATGAAGAAAACAAAGGTCATTAAAACAACAGGAAAGAAAGAAAAGATCCAAGTGGCTGTCTGAAAAGACTCTGAAACATGCCAGAGAAGACAAAGTAAAATATTATAATTAAACGTACAAGACCTCTAGGCTCACTGCCACTGAGTCAATTCTGACTCATAGTAACCCTACAGGAGAGAATAGAACTGCCCCTATAGGTTTACGAGATTGTAACTCTTAATAGGAGTGGAAGTCAGGTCTTTCTCCCACAGATCAACTGGTGGGTTTGAACTACAGACCTTGTAATTAGCAGCTCAACATGTAATCACTAAGACCTAGAGTTAGAAAACCAAAAAGGGAGAACATGCATAGCATATCTTAAACTGAAAAACTAAAGAAAAAATTCAAGCCTTGAGTTACAATATTGAAAGATTCTATGTGCACAAATATTGAAAGATTCTATGGGCAAAATATTGAACAAGGCTGGAGCATAAAAAAATGTTTAAGCAAATGAAAACAGTTGTTCTAAATCTTAAGGATTTTCAGTGATGTGGGTATGTTGTTTAATGTCAGTTAAAAGAACTCATGGAAGACATGCTCTGTGTGGTAGCAGGTGTTAGTTGTACCTTCACATCAACGGTACTGAAGGAAGAAGTCCAAGTTTCACTGAAGGTATTAGCCAAAAACAAGGCCCCAGGAATTGATGAAATACCAAATGAAATGTTTAAACAAGCTGATGAAATAATCACTCATCTATGCCAAGAAATTTGGAACACACTACCTGGCCAACAAACTGGAAGAGATCCATGTCTCTATCCATTCCAAAGAAATATGAGCCAACAGAATGTGAAAATTATAGAATAATATTATTAATATCATATGGAAGTAAAATTTTGCTGAAGATCACAGAGAGCTGCCAGAGATCCCAGCCAGATTCAGAAGAGGACATAGAACAAAAGATATCACTGCTTGTGTTAGATGGACCTTGGTTGAAAGCAGAGAATACCAGAAAAATGTTTACTTGTGGTTTATGACGAGGCAAAGGCATTCTACTATTTGGCTCATAACAAAGTATGGATAGTTTTGAGAAGAATGGGAATTCCAGAACTCTTGTGTGCACGTAGAATCTGTACACAGACCAAGAGGCAGTTCAGTTAACATAACAAGGGAACACTGCAATGGTTTAAAATTAAGAAGGATGTGTACCCAGGTTGTATCCTCTCATCATAATTGTTCCAACTATGCTGAGAAGATAACCAGAGAAGCTAGATGGTATAAACAAGAACTGAAACAACCATAAACAGGATTGCACAACTATAAACAGATGGCACAAATTTGCTTGCTGAAGGTGAAGAAGGTGTGAAGCACGTGCTGATAAAGATCAAGGATTGCAGCTTTCAGTATGGATTACGATTAATTGTAAAGGAAACCAAAATTCTCACAGCTGGATTAATAGCTAACATCATGATAACATCATGAGAAAGACTGAAGTTGTCCAGGATTTCATCTTGCTTGAATCCATAATCACTGAGCATGGAAATAGTTGTCAAGAGATCAAAGGACACACTGCATTGGGTGAATCTACTGCACAAAGCCTCTTCAAAGCACAGAAAAGCAACACCCTCAAAGACAGCCCAATTTAAAAAAATCAGAAAGCAACAAATGTTGGAGGAGGTGTGGTGAGGACAGGATCTCTCATCCATTGCTGGTGGTCTTGTAGGTACATTCAGTCACTGTGGAAAGCGATTTGGCAATACGTAAAGCAAATGGAAGTCAAGTTACCTTACAACCCAGCAGTCCCTTTACTGGGCATATACCTAAAAGAAGTAAGAAATATACATGACCAGACATCTGTGCTCCAATGTTCATTTTGGTACAGTTCACAATAGCAAAGAATTGGAAACAATCTAAATTTCCATCAATAGACAAACATTACAAAACTCCCGTATATACACACAATGGAGTATGGCATGTCCCTAAAAAGCAGTGATGAAAGCATGAAGCCTATTGTCTCATGGGAGGAGTTGGAGGAAATTATGGTAAGCAAAGCCAGACAAGCACAAAAGGACAAGTACAACATGAGTCCCCTGAGGTCAGTTCAAACAGCACAATGGGCATAGAGGAAATGTAAGTTAATAATTTCTGGTTTAAGGTCCAGGCCCTCTGGCAAGGATCAGACCAAAACCAGGGGTGCATATGGCATCCAAAAAAAAAAAGATGGAGATAGCATCAGGGCTGAAAGACATCTTTCCTATCTCTCCCATACCTTTAAGGACACGGAGGAGGAAGAAAAAAAAAGACGATGGCTTTGGGTTAGCAGGGCACTAATCCACCCACAAGGAAGGTATTGTTTATGTCTCTACTGGAAAAGGAGAGAGAATGCAGACCTCGTTCCTGTGCACCAAGCCTTGAGGGCAGCATGTCTGCATGGAGCAGCTTATTAACAGAAAGGACAGCAGGGCTGGACCCAATCCGAGTTAGGGCAAGCCCCTCCCTAGAAGAATGTGCTGCAGAGGACAGCACTGAAGATACAGGCTGGGGAGAATGGCATGGGAGATATATATATATGGAGAGAGAGAGAGAGAGAGAGAAACAGACAGAGACACCTCATCTTGGCACACCAAGCCTTGAGCGAGACATTCCAACTCAGAGCAGTTTATGCACAGAGAGCCAAGCCTTGAGCAAGACATTCCAACTCAGAGCAGCTTATGCACAGAGAGGACTGTAGGGCCGGCCCGAGTTCAAGACACAACATCCCCTCACTGGATCACAGTGCTACAGAAGACCATACAGGAGACACAGTGTGGGTAGGGGGAGTATGTCCGGTCTGATCCCCTATAGTGGTATGAATCAAGAAGGGAGCATAACAGATCAACGATGGGAGCAAAGTCAGGAAGTCCATGAGGAATCTCCAAAACACACTTCTGACTCAAGGGGCAATATTTGGTGCCTCACCCGACCTGGTTGGGGGATATTCATATCATAAAGGTCAACAGATAGACCTGGACCTGTTAATAGGGTGTTTTTGTTATTGCTATTATTCATTCATTCATTTAATGTCTATATAAGATAGGCAGGATAAGCAATCCTGAGGAGAAAGCAACAGGAGGACAGTTCCAGGGGGCCTGGGAGAGGAGGAGGTGGGGGGAAGGGAGCAGTGAGTCAATAATGTCAGGGACAGGGGAACAACAAGAGATCTAAAAGTGACACCCAGGAGGGTGCAGAGTTCCTGGTGGTGTTTGATCAAGTGTAATGTAGCCGAGAGGAATTACTGAGAGGTGAATGAGGGGTGAACATGATAATGGGGGAAGAGGAAAGTAAAAGGAAATAACTAGGAAGTATAAACTGTATACAGAGGTATAAATATAGACATGTATATATGTAAATATGTTAATATATAAAGATAGGGGTATTGGTGTATGTACATATATTTATATGTTAATATATTATGGTAGTAGATGGTAACTTTGGGCCTCTACTCAAGTCTTTCCTTGACACAAGAACACTTTGTTCTAATAATGTGGCACTGTGTGATACTCACCTTCCCAACATGATCGCTGAAGACAAAATGGGTGCATAAGCAAATGTGGTAAAGAAATGGATGGTGCCTGGCTACTAAAAGATATGGCATCTGGAGTCTTAAAGGCTTGAAGTCAAA